CCCCCCCCCCCCCCCCCCCCCCCCCCCCGTTCTCTTCCTCCCATCTGCCTGCTCCTTCATGCTTCATCCTTTTTCCTCTGGTATTCTCCAGTGCTTTATCATAAGCCCTCTTTTCTTCTTTCTCTTTCCTCTATGCTACTGATTTCATTCACTCCCATAGATTCAATTATTAACCCTTAGCAAATGATTCCCGAATCTACATATCCAGCCCAGTTTTGCCTCTGACTTCAGTCCTATACCTCCAACTGTACTGGCAGACATCTCTGCCTGGCTATTCATGGCCTCTCCAACTTCCCTTGTCCAAACTGCACTCATCATCTTCTCCCCTGTACCTGACCCTTTACCCACCTTCCCTATGTCTGTTGTTGACATCATCATTCTCTTTGTTACCTGTGTTCAAACCCTGAACTCTATGACTCTTCCTTTGCCTTCACCCCCCAAATCTAATCTGTTGCTAAGTTCTGTTGATTCTAGCACCACCATTTCTCCTATCTGCCAATCAGCACCTCCTATGTGCAGACACTGCCAGCTTTTCTCCATCTATGCTGTACTTTCACCATCCCAGCCCAGGCCCTGTTTCATTTCTTGCTTGTGATGCTTTACCAGCTTAGAACTGACTTTCTTGTCTCCAACTCATCCTTCACACAGATGTCAACATCACCCTCCTAAGGACTGACCTTCTCACTTCTCTGCCAAAAAACAACTTTGATGGTTCCCTGTTGCACATGGCTAAAATGCAGCTTCATCCAGCCCCATTAGCCTGGCGTTTACCATCCCTCCTGCTTCTCTTTCTGTCTTCCACACTAAACCACACACACCCACCTTGACAGCCTGGCCTGAGCTGATCTACCAGCTCCTTCTGAGCTCGCCGTGCCAGTGAAGTCAGACAAGCCATTCCTGGGGCCCACGATGCCCTCGCTCTTCACCACTTCCTTTCAGTGTCTGCCTTTTTTTCACAACTTAGCTCAATTGCCAACTCTTTAGTGAAGCCCTCCTCCAGTTTTTCTGGAGTAGTCTGGTTAAAGCTCTCCTCTGTCCTCTGCATGCACTCCCTGCATTCACTCAGATGGAGCCATATACATACAGCACCTGCCACACTCCTCAGATGCAAAGACTGTGTCACTTGCTATCTTTGCATTTCTGAAACCTTGCATACAGACACAGGGCTAAGGACTGAACCTTTGATGTGGTTTTAGGGAACTCCTTGATGAAAATAATCTCTCCACCAATACAGGTTGGCACCTGCACCTCTCTGCAGTTTATAGGCTTAGAAAATTGACTACAGCACTGAGAAGTTGACTTGCCCAAAGTTAAACAGCTAGTAAGAGTCAGTGGTAGGATTTGAACTCAGGTCTTCCTGACTTGGAGGCCAGCTTTCTATTTACTAGGCCACACTGCTTTGCATAGACCAAGAGTTTAATAAATATTTGTTAAATTGATGGGTATGGAAATCTGTCTTATCCTACAGGAAAATAGGGGGGGAAGGGGACAAGAGAGTAGGGAGATAATAGACAGGAGGGCAGATTGGGAAAGGGGGTAATCAGAAGCAAATACTTCTGAGGAGGGACAGAATCAAAAGAAAGAATAGAATAAATGGGGCGGGGCAAGATAGGATTAAGGGAAATAGAGTTAGTCTTTCACAGTATCTCTACTATGGAAGTGTTTTGCATAACTGCACATGTATAACCTATATTGAATTGCTTGCCTTTTCAATGAAGGTGGGTGGGGAGGGAGGAAGGGAGAAAATTTGGAACCCAAAGTTTTAAAAACACATGTTTATAAAAAAATATTTTCACATGCAACTGGGAAATAAGAAATATAGGAAATGGGGTACAGAAATCTATCCTGCCCTACAGGAAAATAGAAGGGGAAGGGGATAAGAGAAGTGGGGGAGAGATAGAAGGGAAGGCAGACTAGGGGAAGGGGTATTCAGAATGCATGTCATCTTGGGGTGGGGGGAGGGGTGAGATAGGATAAAACTTGGAACTCAAAATCTTGTGGAAATAAATGTTGAAAACTAAAAATAAATAAATTTATTCATAAAAAAAAGAAAAAAATGTTCATTAAATTGAATTCCTGAGCCTGATGAGGGCACCAAATGTCATTTGACCTCACCAGGACACAGCCTCTAAAAAAGGACCTGTCAGATACAGCTATTGACTGTCTTTTATAGCTCTTCATATTCTGATCAGGAAAATAACTGCCTCCTAAAATCCCTTGTAATGCAAATGTGTGGCCTAGTAACTAGAGGTAATTCCTTATGGAGCTACTCTACAGAGCTACTGCTGCTAGGGCTAACTGTAACTATGGAAGACAGGAGGAAGCTGAGACTGAGGGAATGAGTCATGTTTTAGGAAGTGCACTGAGGAAAAATGCCAAACACAGAATAACTGGAATGACCAATCTTGGTTCTAGAGAAAGGTAGGAGTGTGGGTGTGGAATGTTGCACACAGATGTAGTCACTGAGTTGATTAGCCCTGGCCAACTATTTTTTTATTGTTACATAGGAGGGCTAACAGGGTCGGGTGGAAGACTATATCCAAAAACATCTATGATACAAAAACAAATATGCCTTTTTTTACAAGAAGTTGCACTTAAGGAAAATTATTTTAGATGAGACACTACCAAGTTAGAACAAGTCCATGGGAGGATGACCGCAATGGCAAACAGACTTAAAACCATCCCATGGAAGAATTTGAGAAAGTATAAGATTATGCAACTCAAGTTGGCACCTTAGAAGTCATCTTGGTTATATTTTTCTGAGATATCCAATGGAATGCGAGCTTATATGTCTACCTAGACTGTAATATCCAACAAAACGTGAGTTCGGCAAGGGAAGGGTCCGTATCTTATAGTATTCTGTACCCCCTACACTCAGTCAACATAAGGCTCACCATTACCACCAGGTAATGAATGCTTTAGAGGTGGAAGGGCCTTCAAAGGTCATCTAGTCCAACCCCTTCATTTTATAGATGAGAAAACTGAGGCTCAGTAAGCTGAAGTCACTCGCCCAAAGTCATGCTGGAAATGGCAGAGGTAGGCTTGAGTGCTGGACCCTTTGACTCCTCATCCAGTATTCATTTTTTCCTACCACCATGACAGGTTCCTAGGATTTAAAGCTGGAAGTGATCTCAAACACCACAGTCCTTCATGGTAAACCATTTATCTCTAACAAGATACCTCCAGGGCCCACAGGGGAATTCATTTGTCATAGTCTACTCATTCCGTGATCCTTACATTTACTCTTCTCCCAATGGAGCAAGCGATATTACAAGCTCTTGTAAGAACCAAGAGTGGTTTTAAGCAGCCTCTTTTAATGATGAGAGTCTTCTGATGAGGCCAAATCTAAAACATCATGTTTCTACAGAATAGTTCTGATGTGGTTACCTTAGCACCCAGGCCATACTGCTTGCTGTATGCAAACATAGCCAGGTCATCAAACAACCGCAAGATGGTCCTGCAGTGGCTGAGCTGTGCAGATATCACCAGAAGCCTCTTCCCTACTTCAGATTTGACAGAAGACTGTTCAGCCAGGAGCCCACCAATCAACTGACAGCCATAGCTCAAAGTCCTAATCTGTAGCAAAGCAGAAGCAGCAAGCATGAGAAAGTGGGGCATTGATTTATGATTACATTAATTTATCTGTAGTAGCCAACTATCACTTTTAGTAACTATCTTGGTTTTCAGCTACATAATATATGTTGGTCTTCTATCCCCAACCTGACAACAAAGACCATTTCTTATACAGTACTTCGTTTCTATCCACCAGAGTGGCTGACATAGTGCCGGGCACATCATATTTGCCAAACAGACAGTATTACAATAAAATGTTGAAAATTCATTTTTCAAATATGATCATTTGTGCTATTGTGATAAAATCCCTAACTGGTATTAGCAATGGGTGACAAGACTGAACCAATGAATTTTGAGTTTAAAAAGTTGAAATTTAAAATGGTGGAACTGTATCTGAGGTTAAAGCAACATAGGTCAATGCTCATGTGTTACTGGAAAGTGGAAAATGTGACTCAGGTGGCCTGGGAAGCACTGGAGATATGAATTTGAAACCAACCCCCAGGAGAAAGAACTACTTCAGTGTTACTTGATAAATGTGAACCAGAGGATATCTGTATGCTCACTTATCTGGAAGATGGGTAGGATAAAAAGGAAGTAGAGAAACAAAAAAAAAGCACCTTGTAGCAATCTGCATAGCATACCACCCTCAAAAATGGCCAGGAAATAGATGGTGAACATTCTGGAGCTTTCTCAGGCTACTACAATAATAGTCTAACATTCTCTTGAAAAGTAAATATATCAGACACTTGAGTTCATAACACAATTCTCCAAAATGATTTGTACTTTACTGCAAGATGGAGTCTTGTTACCTTTGCCTATGGTATCAGTGACTCTTTTTCTCTCCCTCACTGCTACAAAATTACAGAAAATTGGTAAAAGCCTAGGGTTAAGGCCTTTGCTAAAGCTTTAAGTTAACCATAAATATTTCATAATAAATGGGACAAATACAGGCAGCACTTTATGGAAGACAGAGCCCTGGCTAGCGAGCCAGGAGACATGAATTCTAGTCAACCTTCTCCTGAAGAGAAAGCTACCAGTTTTTAAATTCAAAAACCATTTTGTAACTATTAAATTCAGGACAAGTAATATTGATCTTTCAGAGAAAAAAACATTTTTAGTTTAGATCATGGCCTGGTCACCTACTAGACGGTGAATTCCATGAAAGCAGCAGCCTTATTTTTTGTGTTCCTTGGAGTACAGGCTCTGCATATAGCAGCCAGAGGGACTTGTGATCTCATAGGTATAAGAAACTCCTACATGAGGAAACTCTTATCAATGCAGGTCTGCATCCCCTCTTCAGCTTAAAAGTTTTACAGAATTACCTAGCCAACTGAAAAATTAGACGGTTTGCCGAAAGTCACAAAGTATCTCAGAGAGGGGCAGAACCAGAAAGGCCTGGGTTCAAGTCTCACATGCAGCAGATATAGAATGGCCCATCATCAGCACACTCCTTGTAGCTTTCATTTGATTATAGAGATTTGTAGAGCCAAAAGAAAACTTAAATTTGTCTAGTCATAGGATTATAAACTTAAAGCTCAAAAGGATGTTAGAAATAATCTCTTCTCATCTATTAATTTTATAGATGAAGACACTGAGACCCAGAAAAGTCATTAACCCAAGGTCACTGAAAGTTGCTGAGCTAGGATTCAAATGACAATGCAGTTCGGTGCAGTAGAAAGCAGGCTGGAATTGGATCTGGAGGTCTTAGATTCAACCCCTGCATTTCCCACTTAAAATATCATTGTAAGTTTGAGATCATTTACTTCTCTGGGTCTTGCCTATTTCATCTATAAAATGAGGAGGTTGGACCAAACAACCTCCAAGATTCCTTCTAATTCTAAGCTTGTAATCACTGAACCTAGAATTGGAAGGGACTAGAGATCATCTAGTCCAGTTGCCCTTATCCTTTTCTGTGTCACCAGATCCCTCTGACAGTTTGTTGAAGAATAATGTTTTTAAATGAATTTTTAAAACCATACAATTGTATGAAACTAATTAAGGTGAATTAGTTATCGAAATATTTAAAACAAAAACCAAGTTCATGAACCCCAAATTAAAAAGTCATCTGGTCCAACACCATTTTACAGGTGAGGAAAATGAGGCCCAGAGAAACTAGGGACTTTGCTCAGGGTCATACAGGTGGGTGCTGCAGATCTAGGGTTCTAACTGGAGTTCCCTGAGGGCAGGGATTGTCTTTTGCTTTTCTTTATATCCCAGCACTTTGAACAATGCAGGAACGCTGCTGGAGTTTAATAAATGTTTCTTGACTTAAGATTTGTTTACCAAGGTCCTCTAGCCCCAAATCCAGGACTCCAGGAATCCTGGTCCTGGGAGGGCTCTTCACATTTTAACTGTCCGACCACTCAAGGAAAAGATGGGGAAACTGAGGCCCCAAGAGCAGTGGTGCTTTAGCGAGGTCCTGCCCCAGAGCTCGGGAGTGGCTGGGGGTGGGGTGGGGGGTCCGAGCCCACGTCTTCTCTGTTCCCAGGGGCCTTAGGGGCAGAAACGCGGGGAGGCCCCCACTCCTTCCACCGAGGGACTTTGCTGCTTCGGACCCTGGCTGCTCGGACCGGGCCTGCAGGGACATCCCGCCCACGGAACCCGGGGCCCACAGTCGGGCCGGGCTGACCCTCGGGAACGAGAAGGAGGAGGGCACAGCGAGAAGCCCGCGGCCCCGTCAACCTCCCCCGCCTCCGAGGTCCGGTCCCAGCCCGCCCGGGGCCTCACCAAGCGGTCCCGGCCTCTATAGGACTCCAGCGAAGACACTAGGCCGCTCAGCGCCGCCATGGCAACACTTCCGGGCAGGCCGTGGTGATGTCAGCACGCTGCGCGAGAGAGCGGAGGGGCGGGGCTTGCGGGCCATTCATAAGTCCCCGCGCCGTGTAGCTTTCTGGGCTGCGCTAACCTGGGCCTATCTTTCTTAACCTCTTATGTTTAAATTTCCATCATCCTAATTTTAAAGACTGGGGAGATGGGGCGGGGAGAAAGGACTTTAGAGTTCGTATAGGCCAGTTTCACCAGCTTCCTCATTTTGTAGATGAGGAAAATGAGGCCCAGAAAGAGACTTGCTCCAGGACCTCATCTGTAAAATGGGAATAATAACAGCACCTGCCTCCCAGAGTTTATAACAAGATAACAAGCACTATGCAAATGCTAGCAGTTATTAGTATCATTCTTCCATATGACAGTGCCTCCCTTTTAATTCAATTTGATTCAGTTCAACAAATATTTATTAAGGAATATCACGTGTACTAACAAATATTTACTAAGTATTTACTTTTGCAAGGCATTTCGTTAGACGGCTGGGACACAAAACAGCCCCTGCCTTCAAGGAGCTTCTCCTGGGGGAACTCAATGAGTACCTAGATTAAGTCAATACAAATTAATTTCAAGAGGCAGCCAGTACTAATAACTGAGAACATTAGGAAATGCTTTGGGTAGAAGGTGTCCTAGCAAGGAAAGAAGGTAGGGATATTAATTAAGAGGAAGATAGAAAACATTCCAGACATGGGTGCAAATGTCAGCCTTTGCTAGGATGCAGAGACAGGAGACAGAACAGATGGTAACCTTGTTTGGCTGAAACTGAGAGAGTAATTAGAGAAGTTAACATGAAATAAGGCTGGAAACCCAGGGGAGGGGCCTGTGGCTTGTTACCAGCGGGGCCTCTTCAGAGAGTTTCCTGCTCTGCAAAGGGAGCAGTCGATGGGGTTCGTTGGGGCAGGTGGAGGAGCTTCCATGTGCAGTCCGGGCCCTGGTGTGTCAAGACAGCTGAAATTTACAAAACCATTTTAAGGTTACAAAGCACTTTACATACATTATTATCTCACTGTAGATTTCCAGCCTCATTACCAAGTCAGAACTACAGGTATTATTAACATTTTATGAATCAAAGGATCAGAGATTGGAAAGTTGGAAGGGACCTTATAAGTCACATCTTGTCCAAACTCTTTTGTTTGATAGCTGCAGAAACTTTCTGAGGCCCAAAAAGGGAAGTGATTTGGTCAAAGTCATGTGGGTCTTACAGCTGGGTGGTGCGTGGATAGAAAGCTGGCCTGAAATCAAGAAGTCCTAGGTTGAAATCCAGTCTTCAGATATTAGCTGTGTGACCCTGGGCAAGTCACTTAACCCTGTTTGCCTCCATTCCCTTATTGGCAAAATGGGGGTAATAATAGCACCCATCTCCCAGGATTGTTGTAAAACCCAAATGAGAAAACATGGATAAAGTGCTTTGTAAACCTTAAAATGCTATATAAATGCTAACTAGTATTATTATTATCTACATAGAGATGACAGTTGAACCCAGGGGAGATAATGAGGTCACCAAGCGAGTGAGTAGGAGAGAAAGAAGAGTTCCTAGAACAGAGCCTTGGGATACACCCTGAGTTAAGGAGCATGACATGGATGATAGCCCAGCAAAGATGACTGGTCAGCAATGGGCAGTTACGAAGGAGGAGAACCAGGAGAAGGGTTACAAAAACCCAGAGGAGGAAGTCAGGGAGGTCAGCAGAGCCAAATGCAGCAGAGAGTTCAAGAAGCATGAGGAATGAGAAAAGGACATTAGTTTGGGCTACTTTGAAGAGAGTGTTTCAGTCGAATGATGGTGGCAGAGAGTGAGCAACAAGGAAGTGGGTGCCCCAAGTGTAGACTAAGTGTAGATAATTTTTACAGGGTGTTTATCTGGGATAGGGAGGAGAGATATAAGACATTAACTAGCAAGAATGATAGAATCTAGTGAGATGATTTGTTGTTTGTTCTTAAGAATGGGAGAGATGTTTGTGAGTTGCAGAGAAAGAACCAGTAGAGAGAGGGATTGAAAATTAGAAGTGGGTAGTAATAGTGGGACAATCTGCTTAGAGAAGATGAGAAGGAAAGAGGGATCAAGGTCTAGCTTTAGTGAGGAGAAGGGTAATCTCTTCATCAGAGATTGGAGTAAAGGAGGAAATAGTTCTGAAATAAGGAAGAGGGGGAAAGCATTGCAGAGCTCATGGAGGACCTCAGTAGAGAGGGGTATGCTGAAGACAGCTCCTACTGGCTCCAAAGAGATTGTTACATTTTCAGTGTGGGAATTACAAATCCGACTTTGGCTTGGTTTGTAAATTGTCTAGACTTAAGAAAGTAGTGGATTAAATGTTAATAATGCAAATTCAAATTGAAAGTGCAGTATTTTTCCCCCAGAGAACCAGCTGTTAAACATTCACTAGCACATCCCAGAAGCCGTGGAACATTTGAGGAAAGAAAAGAAAGTTTGGAAAAGGGCTTGTGGTGAGTAGGATAGAGGAAGTGTAGGGCCTAGTTGAGAATAGAGAACGTGGATTTGTAACTGACATTTGTAGGATTTCATCCATTTCTGTTCAGTAGCACTTGGTGAGTTGATGTAGGGTGACCCAGGGCTGGGGTTTGGCAAGGTGTGAGCTGTCAGGGAGAGATCTGAGAGACAACCTACTCCACTTTAGCATAGCTCTGAGTGCTCTGGAGTTTTTCCTGATGCTGATTCTAATTTTGTCTCTTTGCAACTTCTATCAATTTGCTTTTGTGTCCTCTGGGACCAAGCAAAACAAATCTAATCGCCCTTCCATATGACAGCCCTCCAGACATTTCAAGAGTGTTATTGCGTCTCCCATGAGTCTTTCCCTTTTCCAGGCTACACAGTCTCAGTTTTTTTAAGGGATGCATGGGCTCAGGCAAGGCCCTTTGAGATTCTGGCTACTCATCTCTGACATTCTCCGGCTTATCAGTACGTGAATACGTTTCCTAGAACCGAATTCAGATGTGGTCTAAGCAGGACAGAATGCAGAAGGCCTCTCAGTCAGTTAGTCGATAAACATTTATTAAGCACCTACTATGTGCCAGGCACAGCCTTAGAGGCAGGGATAAAAAGAAAGACAAAAAGACAGTGTTTGCCCTCAAGAAGCTCCCCTCCCAGAGGCAGCTGAGTGGCTCAGTGGATAGAGCACTACCGCCCTGGATTCAGGAGTTCAAATCCAGCCTCAGACACATAACACTTACTAGCTACGTGACCCTGAGCAATTCACTTAACCCCATTGCCTAGCCAAAAAAAAAAAAAAAAAAGAGGGGACAACCAACAGATAAACATGTATAAGCAAGATATAGACAGGATCCATTAGAAATAATTAACAGAGGGAAGGCAGTAGGATTAAGAGGAATAAGGAAAGGCTTCCTGTAGAAGGGTGAGATTTTAGCTGGGACTTAAAGAAGCCAGAAAGCAGAGATGAGGAGGGAGAACATTTAGGGCCTGGGGGACAGCCGGAAAAATTCCTGGAGTTGAGAGATGGAGCCTGTTGTATGAGGCCAGTGTCACTGGGTCGAAAGGCCAGTGGGGGAGGAGTGTAAGAAAGAAGCCCGGAAAGGTCGGGGAGGAGGATCCAGATTATGAAGAGTTTATCACCTCCTTATTTCTTGAAGCTGTGCTCGGTTTAATGCATCCCAAGATGGAATTAGCTTTTCTGGCTGACTGACTGACCATGGATTCATCTGGAGTTTGCCATTTACTCAAAGGCCTATTTCAGACAAACTGCTGTGAAATCTAGGCCTCCTCCATCCTATGCTTGTCCCAATTTAAAAAAAAAAAAAAGGAAGAGAGCAGAGTTTGCAAACAATAGGCAGGGGAGCTTGACTGGAATTCTGGTAAAATTCCAGAACAGATTATCATAGAGATAGCTGGTTTGTAAATTCTGTTCTCTTCTCTTTATTTTTTTTTTAATCGGGATATTTGCTCTGCTGCAGTCTCGGACCATAGATTTAGAGCTGGATGTTAGCGGGCATCTAGTCTGAGCTGAATATTTTGCAGATGAAGAAAGCAAGGCACCCCAAGAGGTTGAGTGATTTGTCCAAGTTCATACAGGTAGGCTGGGACAGAGACAGGATTCAATCCCTGGTGCTCTGACTCCCCACTGTGCCGTGGGGCCCCTCTCTGGTTCTCCCTCCCTCTAGCAAAGTCCATTGGATGCTGCTGCTGCTGCTGCTTCCACTGGAAAGAGTACCTGCTCCATCTCTGGAGCCCCATGGTTTCCCCTTTCCAGGGGCCCCAGGTTTCTCGGATGACTTCCTTCCCAGCAGGGGCTCTCTGGTTGACTCAGCTGTGGTTCAATCAGTCATCCTCAGTGGGGTGTTAAAGGGTCAGTGGGTATCCAGAAGGAGGCAAGCCGTGAAACCTTAGAGTGGGACTACCACGCTGGAAGAAAGACCTCTTCCCCGCTAAACCTCAGTAATGTAAAGCCGCCTGGGGCCCTGTCTGGGCTCATGGAGTCGAGGCCCAGCTTTGGCTCACTGCTCCCCGCACTAGGGCAAATCTCCAAATCTCCAAAATCAAGCTTAGGTATCCTGGTTTCTAAGTTCTAGACTTTCACTTCAGGGGAAATCTTTAAAATAAAGCTTAGATGTAGTTCTAGGTTTCCCCAAATATGGGTAACAAAGCCCCTAGCTCCCTCGTGGGCACTTCAGTTGATAGCATGGGGATTATGGGCTCCAGACAGCTTTTAATTCGCTTGTTTTTGCTGTTCAGTCGTTTGAGTCGTGTCCGCGTGTCCGCCTCTCCATGACCCCATTTGGGGTTTTCTTGGCAGAGATACTGGAGCGGTTTGCCATTTCCTTCTCCAGCTCGTTTTACAGAAGAGTTAGTTCACCCTTCAGGAAATGAACAGGACCCCAAAGAGGCACAGGAGTCCGCGGACAAACAGAGAAACTCTATAAAGCACTCAAAGAGTTTGTTATGCACTCCCCACCCCCTTTCGGAGCAAAACACCCTTGGGGTGCTCTTAACAACCACTCTCTTTCACCTTAGATTCACTTGTACTGGCTGAATAATTCACTGGAGCATAGACTTACAGAGGGAAGAGACTCTCATGGTCAGTTGGTCCAAGGCCTTCCTTTTACAACTGAGGGAAACTGAGGCCAAGAGAAGTTAAGGTGACTTGCCCAAGGTCACACAGTCAGAAATTGAATCCAAGGCCTCTGACTCCAAATCCAGCACTCCTTCAGATGTTATTTAAGAGCTATGTGAATTATCCTCTTCTTTTTCTCCAAGGTCCATGCTTGCTGCATCCAAACATCCTTGTCTTTCCCTAGGAGGGCAGTGCCTGAACATTTGAACTTGGGGAATTCTTTGAACTTGACTCTTGGGAGCTTATCCAGGAGGTAACCCTTAAAGTCTGGAGGCATCCCTCTTGTCTCAGGCTTTGTACAAGCCCATATTTGTGATTCCCACGTGCTTCTACAGGAATTCTATCAATGTCCCAACTACCACCATATCTTGGGCAAGGGAAATTCATTTTCAACAGCTCTAGTCTCTTCTTCAGGGCAGCTAGGTGGTACCATAGTGCACAGAGAGCCAGGCCTGGAGTCAGGAAGACCTGAGTTCAAATCCAGTCTCAGACACTGGCTGTGTAACCCTGGCAAGTCACTTAATCTCAGAAACTGGATTGTAGAGTTTTGGAGAGAAACAAATTGAAAGAAGACTGGAATAGAAGAAGGCCTGCTTATGAAGAGATTTTTTGTTTTAATTTTCTTTGGCCAGAGAAGAGATTTAAATGCCAAACAAAAACTTCATATTTAATCCTAGGGGTAATAATGAGCCACTAGGGTTTATTGAGTTAGAAATATGATATCTTGGGCAGATCTATGCTTCAGGAAAAATCATTCTGGGAGCCTTGTGGAGGTTGGACTAGAGTGGGGAGAGATGAGAGAGGAAGACTAATTTTATTGTTAGAATCCATAAGAGAGATGGAACTAGGATGGTAGCTATATGAGCCAGCGAATGTTATAGTCTTGCCTCAGGTTTGAACCAAAACCAAAACCATTACCTGGTGATGGCATTACTTTTGACCCTCAACCCAGGGCTTTCTCCAGACTGTGTACTCAGAAAGAATATTAAGAGCTCTGATTCCGAAGGTGCTTAACAGTTTTACCAGTCACATTTCACAAAAGCTGGAGATGGGGGTGGGGGGGGTGTTATTTTTCGAACTTTCCAGAGGAAAATAGAAACCCAGAATTGAAAAGGGGCATTCTGAGCCTAAAGGAAGACTGGGACAGAGACTTGAACCCCTTCCTGGCCCTAGGTTCTTTCATGCTGTAGCTAAAGGTTGCCAAGGATCCATTGTGATATGGTAGGACTTTGTCTGACAGAGGAGGGAGGTGGCATGAGTGGGTAGCCAGTGGGAGGGGGTTCTCGGTCACAAATGTGTCGGTGGGATCCTGGAGCCACTATCCTCCAGGCTCTGAAACCATGGTGGAAGAAGAAGTGAGTGCTTGGCCTTGGAAAGGGAGGAGGTTTCCAGGGAGGGGGCTCAGGACAGGGTCTCAGCCTATAACCCTGAGCACTATCACTCCTTAGGTTTTCTTTTTTTATAAAATAGGACTAGAATAGCCTAGGACAGGGTTGTTAAATAGACCCTGTGGGCTACTAGAGTTAAAATGTAATTGGGAAATGTTTAACAACAACAAAAATCAATAAAAATATAATACAACATAGATAGTGTTAGCTTGTGGTTTTCTAAGTCAGTATATGGCCTGCAGGGATCTGTTTCTATTTGAGTTTGACACCACTGGTCTAGGAGATTTAAGTCGGGAATGAACTATGGCTGCCTGAAATCCTAAACCACCAAATTCCTGACCCTAGTAAGGTCACGGAATTTCAGAGCTAGAAGGCAAGTTAATCGTCCCCACACACAAACAAGAATTTCCTCAGCCATGTGTCAGATAAGAGTCCTTGGCCATTCTTTGAGGGAAGACCTGGTAGGAAGAGGAATCCATAACCTCCAGGGACAGCCTAATCCACTAGATACCTCCAATTGTTAGGACTTTTCTTTTACCTCAAGCCTAAATTCCATCTAGTTCTCTCTCTTCCTTGAAATACTTAGAGACAGCCATCTAGTCTTCTCTTCTCCAACCTAGATATCCCTAGTCCCTTCATGTATGGTGTGGACTCAGAGCCGTCTGCCATTTTGATCGTGCCTCACCCACCCCCACCAGTATCCACACCAGGTGGTCAATAATGTGACTCCCAGACCTCCCAACTCTTTGGTGCTCTCCCTTTCTTCAGCCTTGGTAAAATTGCATTTAAAAGAGCCAGAGGCCACACTGGGTTAGGATACAGGAGGCCTCTTTTATACTTGCCTTCCCTCTGGACGAGACAGAGACCTTTAAATGGCCCACTAGGCCACCAGGGAGATAGAATCATCCTAGAGTCATCCTAGAGTCAAATCTTGGGAAAGACATTGACAATATGGAATGCCTCAAAGAAGAGGGACCAGTAAAGCTATAATTAAAATGTGGTACCTGAGGCATGTAATTTGTTCTCAAATTGATTTTGTAATGAATGATTTAAAAAATAATACAGATATGGATTCTACTTGTGATGTTGTTCCTTCGGGGAACTCCCAGAGAAGGAATTTCATTCTACTAATGCAGGTCTGAAATTTATAGTCTCAGAGAGACTTCCTAGGGCCTTGAGAGGTTCAATGACTTGTGCTGGTCACACAGCTGGTATGTGGGCAGAGACAGGATTTGAACCCAGGCCTTCCTACTACATGCCATGATGCCTCTAGTAAACGATACCCAAAATGGTTAAGACCAATTCAGTTGATTAGATGGTGGGAGGGAGTTTCTATCTAGTGCCACACTGATGAATGTCATTAGACTCAGGACAAGTTTAGGCTCTGTGTATGGACAGAGTTTCCCTACATAGCTGTCCCAGCATGGAATGAGTTTCCTCTGAAAGAAGTTAAGTGCTAAGTCATAGAAAATCTTCAATCAGCCAATCAACAAGTATTTATTGAAGGTCTATTATATGCCAGGCTGTGGGGGAGGGTGGTACAGAGAATGAAACAATCCTTACTTCCAAAGATCTTACTTACTAATGGGGGAGACAACATATATAAATACATATAGCAGACACATAAAGCTAAAGAGTACAAAAATACACAAAGTAGTTCATTACAAAGTAGTATGGGAAGAAGGACACTTAACAGTTGGGATAGGGTGGGGGTGGGGGGGATTTGAGAGAGGCTTCCTGCAAAAATGGGTGCCTGCGCCTTGTCTTAAAGGAAGAGATGAAGGCTGGACATCCACTTGTTGGAAATATTGTAGAGGTAGCACTAGTTGACCTTTGAGGTTCCATCCAGACTTGTATCACGATTCTGTTACCGTGAGCTTGAAGTCAAGGTCTTAGGATTTGATAAACTTCCCCACCTGATGTCTGATTACTGACTCCTGGGTTGTTGTCCATTTGGGGTTTTCTTGGCAAAGATACTGGAGTGGTCTGCCATTTCCTTCTCCAGCTCATGAAGAAACTGAGGCAAGCAGGGTTGAGTGACTTGCCCAGGGTCACACAGCTAGGAAGTGTCTGAGACCAGATTTGTCTCCAGGCCCCAGCACTCTATCCACTGTGCCACCTAGCTGCCCTGCTGCCCTGCTGGGAGGGGGCTTCATTTTACCTCAGTTGAAATAAATTCAACAAACAATTATTCAAACAAATTAAAGTCTTTTAACCCCAAATTGCAAAACTCCAAAGGATTTTTCTAGCTCCTCTAGAGTTCAGGTAAGGGATAAGGATGTTAAGGGTCCTAAGTCCCTTCAGACTGTACCTACTGGCTACTTCCAACCCCTTTACTAATACTGCTTGGGCCAAACTTTTTTTTCTTCCAGAAGGTAGGACAGCAGGGAAGCTGGGCTGGTCTGGAGTCTGGGTCATTCAGGACCTTCCGCTTCAACCCTAGGATATTTTTGCTTCTGTATTGCACTTACATAATGCCGTACATTATAGTTATCAGTTGGTATCATTTCCTCTAGTAGACTGTAAGCTTTTTAAGGGCAGGGACTAGGTCTTATCTAGACTTTGTATCTCTCCCAGAATTCTTTGCCCCAGTAACCTTTAGTCAGTCTGTCAACAAACATTTATTATGCTTTAACTATGTGCCAGGCACTGGCCGAAGAGCTGAGCGTACAAATTTGAGTAGAAAGAAAGACAGTCCCTGACCTAAAGAATTTTACTTTCCAATGAGAAAAACAACACATAAAAGAAAGCTGAAAAGGGTGAGATAATCTTGGAAAGTACTTAGCACAGTACCTGGCACATAGTAAATGTTGTTCCTCCTCCTCCTCTTCTGTATTAAAGAGGTAACTTTTAAATAAATGTGTGTTAAATGAATGAGTGATTAAATTAACAAATGAAATCCAACATTGCTAACCATTTGCTCTCTCTTTGCATTGGCAGGACAGTAGTATATAGCCCCTGAAATTCTACTTGGGCTCAAACTGCCACCTGGCTCATTCTGTGAGACCAGGATGGCTGACAGCCCCCCAAAGCTCCTCCCTGCTCCCCTCCCCAGAGTTGAGTTCCTCAAGTCCTCGCACTTCAAAATTGGCCCTGACCCCCGCCTTCCAAAAGGATGTATGAAGACTACTTTTGGTAGTTGGTTCCCTGCCCATTGGGGCGCCCATGCAGCGGCCCCCTTCCTGCCAGGCCCCAGCAAGGGGCTCTTCCATCAGGACCTGGATAAGATCCGAGAGATAACCAGTGAGACACACACAGCCTTTCCTGTCCGTGACACAAACAGCTCCCAACCAAGCATCAACTTGCCAATGCAAACCAGCAACCTGAAGATGCATGGAGACCCCCGAATCAATGTCTTCAAGACCACTTTCCAAGAGAAGTACACCTCCCCAGGACCTGAGGCTTTCAATCCTTTCACCAAGGAAGCCCGAAGGCAGTTTGATAAAGACAGCTTCCCCAGTGGAGACAAAGACAAGTTGGGGATCCCTCTGACTCATAATCGCCAGGTCTTCGTGCCCCAGCACCAGATCCCACAACCCCGAGCTCCTTCCCTGCACCTGGGTGAGGGGGAGAGTCACCCTAATTCTGCCTCAGCTCCAAGCCCTGGGGTGTGGCCCTATCCATGGTCTGTCTTTACATGGGCTCTGGTTCCCACTTTGTCCTGGCCCTAGCCTTAAAGGGCCCATAGTCTCAGATTCTTTCCTTCCTGCTCCCCTGCCCTGCTTTGCCTCCTGTCCCCAGCTCCCAAGGAGATCAGGAGAGAGCAATGGATGGTAAAGCTGAAGTATTTCCCTCTCCCAGGAGATCCAACCACGCTTGACTTCCCTAAACCCCTTTCTCAGGTATAAGTTAGCAGTGGGGAAAGTTCAGGGAGAAGCACAGCCTTCACCAGAACCTAAGCTGGGCTTTCATCATGGGAAGATTCACCTTTGTTCTACCCCACCTGCCCTGACCTCACACCCTACACACATCTCCTGCAATGAAAGACCCTGGGTCTGGGAGTCAGGAGACCTGGGTTTTTGCCCCAGCCCAGTTACTGTCTTGCTCGGTGAATTTGGGTGAGGCCTCGTCCTTCTCACTGCTGCAATATTCCTTCTGTGAAAATGAAGCTAATAATCCCCATCCTCCTTTGCTCCCAGTTTTATTGTGATCTTGGAAGGTAGACGATATCTCTGTGTCTTTCTCACTACCCATCTCCTCTTGGTCTTCCTCTTTTCTCTTTGTCATGGTCTTCCCCTGTTTCTGTTTCTGGCTTTTTTCTCCTCCCTTCTTTGTACCCCTCTTTCTTTGTGTTTCATTTTTCTCTAACTACCCCTCTCCCTTCTGTGTCTCTGTCTTCTTCCTTCTGTCTCCTTTTCTATCTGTTTTTTTTCTTTCTGTTCTGCTGTGTCTGTCTCTGTCTTCATGTCTCTTGATTTCTGTTCTATTCTTTTTCTCTGTTTCTTTTCTCTTTCTTTGTTTCTCTATTCTTTTCACCCCTACCTCCAACTATTCTTGTTCTGATGTTTCTCTCTGATTCTGTCTCTCCGTGTCTCACCTGGCCCCCACTTTTTTCCTGATTCTCTGACACTGCCTCCCTCTCTTTTTGGGCTTCTCTCCTCAAAAATCTCTTCCTGCTCTGATCTCTGTTCCTCCTCATCCCCTTTCACCTGTACTGTTGCTAGGAGGACCTTCTCACCTGAAGTGGGGAATGGAGCCTTATCCAGATACCTCCTATCGAGAGGAATTCCAAGGAAAATGTATTTCTCCTATCCATCTCTGTGAGAAGGTAAACCTTTGCCTCACTGAATGCAGTGATGAGGGGTAGGCGGGAAGCCCTCTCTGGTTTCATCACTCTCCCTGACTGCCTGCCTGTGTGTCTGCAGCCGAATTCCCACCTGCAGTTAGGAGACTCCAAAATTGGCCTGGAAGGAATCCGTTCAGAGCAGAAGAATGCCTACACTCCTCAGGGTCTGCCCGAGCACAGGTATGGCTAAGATCCTGTTGGGAGGTGGTCCCAAATGGAGGGACAAAATCTGCCTGAGCCGGTCCTGAGAAAGCCCATGCCTTGGTTCAAGCTGGGAAGGGGCCCCAGCACCCCTTGCTGATATCACTACCACACCCCCTTGGGGAGCTCTCCCAAGCATTTCCTTTCAGGAGGCTGATGGCCCTTCCTGCCAAAAGCCAGTGCCTGAAATTCCACCATTATAAAATTTATACTGTCAGAACTAGAAGGGGCCCTAGAGCTACAGAGAGAGGACCCTCTCTTCCTCAACCGTACAAATGTTTGGCAGAGGCCTCAAATTCACTCTTGTTGGCTAGTCTTTTGCTAGTCTTTCTACCTTTCTTCTCGGCATCATTCTTCCTTTTTCTTTTCCCTCTCTGAATCTTTCCTCTTCATTTTCTTCCTTTTCCTCCTTTTTTTCTTCCCTCCTCTCCTACTTTTTCCTCTTCCTCACTATTTTCTTGTCTTCTTCTCTTCCCTTCCTCTTCCTCTTCCCCCTTTTCCCTCTCCTTCCTCTTTCCCCCCTTCCCCTCTCCTCTCTTGCTCTTTCCTCCCTTTTCCTCCCCTTCTCTCAGCTCATTTGTTATCTCTTTTTTTCTCTCCTTTTCTTTCCTCCTTCCATGCATATCCTTTTCTTCTCTTCCTCTACCCTTTTCTCCTCCTCCACCTTCCTTTTTTTCCTCCTTATCATTCTTTTCCTATCTCTTCTCTCCTTTTTCCTTCACTTTCTTCTTCTCCTGCTTATAATTTCCTCCTCTTGCTCTTCATCCCTCCCACTACACCAAATTATTCCTCCCAGGCCCTCTGGGAGAATGTTTATCACTTAGTTAAACAACAAATGTATAATATGCCCATTATGTAGCTGGCTTTGTACTAGGAGCTGAGATGTACACATAATGAATGAAACAATCTCTGCTCATTAGAAGCTTACATTTAATGGGGAGGAGACACAAAGTAAATATATAAGGACATAGGAAAAATAAAAAGAAAATCATAATAAAGTAAATATAGGGTAGCTTGGAAGGGAGGGCACTAGCATTTGGGATCAGGAAAAGTTTCGTGCAGAAGATGGTGCCTCAGCAGCATCTTAAAAGAAGAGAGGAACTCTGAGAGCCAGAGGTGAGGAGGGGGTACATTCCAAACAGGAAGACTAGCCATGAAAGGCATAGAGAGGTAGATTTAGTGGTTTGTGTGAGGAACATGGTGAGAGAGAAAGTAATGTTCAATAAGGCTGGGAAGATAGATTGGGATGGGGTCGTGGAAGGCTTTAAAAGCCAAATAGAGAAGTGTTTATTTGAACAGAGGGTGCAAAAGGAAGTCACCAGAATTAATTGAGCAGGGGAGAAGCATGGTCAGATCTCTCTTTGGGAAAATAATTTTGGCTTCAGTGTATAGATGCACCAGCAAGGTGAGAGACCAGGTAGGAGGATGTTGCAAAAATCTAGGTGAGAGATGATAAGGGCCTGAACCAGGGTACGAGCTAGCTGTGTGTGTAGAGACAAGGGGTCAGAGAGATGAGATGTTATATGGGGGGGCAGCTAGGTGGCTCAGTGGATAGAGCACAGGACCTGAAGTCAGGAGGACCTGAGTTCAAATCCGACAGACAGACACTTAACACTTACTAGCTGTGTGACCTTGGACAAGTCACTTAACCCCATTGCCTAGCCAAAAAAAGAAAAAAGAAAAGAAAAGAAAAAAGAAAAGAGATGTATGGGTAAAAATAGCAAGGTTTGGCAATTGCTTTGAATATGTTGGGTAAGGAAGAGGAAGGAATATAGGATAATGTCAAAATTACTAACTTGGGACACTGGAAGGATGATGGTTCCTTCAGGAGAAATAGGGAAGCTTGGAAAAGGGGAGTGTTTGTAGGAAAAATAATGAGTTCAGTTCTGGATGTATTGAGTTTGGGATGTCCCATAGGCATTTGGTGATGGAGGATGAAAGCTCAGATATCTAGATGTGGGAGCCATTTGCATAAAGATGATGGTTAAACACATGAGAGCTGGTGAGGTCACCTAGAGAAAGAGTGCAGAGAAAGCAGAGAAGAAGGCTTAAGAAAGAGCCATGCAGGACATTTGTGGGTAGGGAACATGATATGGAAGGTGAACTAAGAAAGGAGGATGAGAAGTCATACAGGAGGAAAACCAGGAGAGATCAGCGTCACAAAAACCAGCAGAGGAGAGGAAAGAGTGTCCAGCAGGAAGAAGCAGTCAAACAGGACCAAAGGGAGTAGAGAAGTAGACAAGCATGAGAATGAGGAAAGACCATCAGAGCTGACAATCAAGAGATCACTGGTGATTCTGGAGAGAGCTGTTTCAGTTGAGTGATGGAGTTAAAAGCCAGATTGCAAAGGGAAGGGATTGGAATGAGCAAAATGGCACCTGCCTTCTGCCAGAGAGATGATGATTTAACATGCAGAACGAGACATATATTTTTGCACATGGCCAATGGGGGAATTTGTTTTGCTGGACTATGCATATTTGTTATGGGGTTTTCTTTTTCTTTTTCTTTTGTTTTGTTTTGGTTTTTTTGTTTTTTTGGTGAGACAATTGGAGTTGTCTTTTTATCGGTCAATTGGGGTGGGGTGCAGTGGGAGGAAGAGATAATAAATGCTCGAAAAGTAAATATATTTTAAAAGAAAAAGGGAAAAATTAAAATTATATTGATAAAAAGACTAATAAAGGAGTAAGAGGAGAGGAAATAGAGTCTGTAAGTGTAGACAACTTTTTCAAGGATTTTGACTAAGAAATGGAAGACAGATATAGGATAATAACATGGGGGGGGAGGGTCCATTGAAGATTTTTTTTTTAATTGAAGGGGAGAGGGGGTACATATGACTGACGTTACAATTTACTGGAGAAGGTGAAAAAGGATGAGAGCAAGTGCAATGAAGAGACATCTTCGGCTAGGAAAAGCGCCACTTCTTTGTCAGAGACTGGTGGAGAGGGAGAGTAGGACATAATGTCGGGGTGTTTTGAGGTGGGGAGAAGAGGGAGCTCATGATGAATGGCCTCAGCAAGGTCCTCAGGTAAGAGACAGTGCAAGGGGTAATGTGGAAGGTTTGAGGAGTGAAGAGAAGGTTTGGAATAGCTTCTGTGGGGAGTGAGACAGGGGATCGAATAAGAAGAATGCCTTGCTGCAGCAAGGACCCAGCTGAGGTTGGAGAACATGAATTGGTCATATATCATCTGGTCACCATGGTTGTGTGACTTGCTTCAGCTCCATTTAGCAGCATGTGAATAGGAGTAGATGATGGAGGTAATTGGTGGGAGTGATCCAGGCTAGGGCTGCCAAGAGATGAGTAGTGATGGGATAATTCAGGGAAGGGTTGGAGATGATGCATAGGATAGAAAGGATCATAGGATCTTGTATTTAGAGCCACCTGGGAACTTAGAGAATGAGTCTTTAGTTTACAGATAAGGACTTGCCTGGAGTCTGTGACTAGCCAATTGTCTGAGGTGTGATTTGAACCCTGCCCGCTCCCCTCCTCCCTTCCTGATTTCAGTTCTATCCACTACACCCTAGGATGGCTGAAGAGAGTTGAGGGTGTGGATCTAACTTTGGGAGGAATTGGGCCAGTAGGCACCTAGTGGGACCTAGAACTCCAGGGGGACTTAGGCGCTTCTTCTGCCTGGTCCAGAGGTCTTTGCCCTTCTGTCTCCTTCCATCTCTCCATGGCAGGTATAACAAGAAAGAGGCTGTAGCCCACATTTTCCAGGTGAACATTCAGCCTGGGGATGGCCATTTCCATGCCTATGTCCCAGGTTGCGAGGATGTGGCTTCTGTGGATACATCTGGTAGGCAGGGACAGGGGCAGGGTCTGGGTTCAGACCAGGGCAAAGCAGGGCAGAGAGTCTGGATGAGGGACAAGGACAGAGATAGAACTGAGGCAGGGAAAGTGACGGGCAAGGATGGGAGAGGGTGGGGAATACAGTCCCTGTTGGACAGAGGAACTGATGGGGAGATGACAAATCAGGATCTGACAGGTGGACCCACCTATGTCTCCCCTAAACAGAGCCAGTCTTCAAGCAGCAAACTGTACCCGATTCATTATTACTGAAGGGAGACCAAGACCCTGAAAGATGCCGGGAAAGAAGCAACTTCACCACAAATCACCACTCCTTTACCTGGGTCAGTCCCTGCTTCCCCAACAGGGATCCCATTCTCCTGATGCTGGAAGCTTTTGGGGGTGACAATCTTTACTTTTCAAAGCACCTCCCTAACCATCTTCTCAGTGCACAACTGGTTACATGGAGTTGGGAGGAGAAAGGTGCAGGGCAGGGATCACTTTCCTCTCTTGTTACAGAAACTTATGTGTAACTCCCAGATCTGTAAATCCTTATCTGAAACTCCCAGAGAGGAGAAGAGACTTGCCCAAAGTCACACAATAAGTGAGTGGCAAAGATAGAAGAACATGGTGCAGTGGATAGAGCACCAGCCCTGGAATCAGGAGGACCTGAGTTCAAATCTGGCCTCAGACACTTAACACTTACTAGCTGTGTGACCTCAGGCAAGTCATTTAACCCCATTGCCGAGGGCCCCCCCCCCCCAAAATATGGAAGAACAACACTGATCTACCCATTCCTACTCCAGGGTTCTGTCTATTGCACATGCAGTAAACATTTATTAAGTACCCACTACATGTCAGGCACTGTGCTGTCTGCTGGGGATACAAAAAGAAGCAAAAGATAGTCCTTACCCACAAGGAGCTTATAGTCTAATGGGAGACCACTTGCAAACAAATATATAGGATAAATAGGAAATAATTAATTGGGGGAAGGCACTAGAATTAAGAGGGGTTGGGGGCAGCTTCCTATAGAAGGTAGGATTCTAGTTGGGACTTGAAGCCAGGGAGGCCAGTACTCAGAGCAGAGGGGCCAGAGCATTTCAGGCATGACTGACAAAAAATGACTGGATCAGAGAGTATATGTCAGGGAGTAAGGTGTCAGAAGATGGCAAGATAGGCCTGGGCAAGGTTATGAAGGACAGAGAATTTTGTATTTGATCTTGGAGGTGATCGGGAGTTTATTGAGTAGGGGGTGACATGATCAGGACTGAGCTTTGGGAACATTAGTTTAGTGACTGAATGGAGATTGGATTCGAGTGGGGGAGACATCTGAGGCAGGCAGACTCACCAACAGGCTATTTGTAATAGTCTAGGCATGAGGTGATGAGGATCTGGACCAGGGTTTGGGCAGTGTCAGAGGAGAGAACATATATGAGAGATATAGCAAAGGTGAAATTGACAGGCCTTGGCAACAGCTTAGACATGGGCGGTGAGAGCTGGTGAGGAGTCCAGCATGACTCCTAGGTTATGAACCTGAGGATGGGAGGATGGTGCTACCCTTGACTGTATTAGTGAAGGTACGAAGGGGTGAGGATTTAGAGAGAAAGATAATGAGTTCTGGTTTGGATGGATCAATGTTTAAGATGTCTACTGGACATCTGGTTCAAGATATCTGAAAGACAGTCGGAGATGCGAGATTGGAGGTCAGCAGAGAGGTTGGGGCAGGAGAGGTCGATTTGAAAATCATCAGGTTAGAATAGTCATTAAATCCAGGGGAGCTGATGTGATCACCAAGTGAAGGAGTGTAGAGGAAGAAGAGAAGAGGGTCTAGGTCAGAATCCTGAGGGACACCTCTGGTTAAAGAGATGATCTGGAGGAGAATCCAGTGAAGGAGACAGAGGAGGAGTGGTCAGAGAGGTAGGAGGAGAACCAGGAGACAGTGAAAACCTGCTTGCCTCCCTCCTCATCTTTCCAGGCACCCTGAATGTAACTCCTGACCTTGGCATCTGGGGAAAGGTCCTGGCCAGGGCTTTGGGGGAGAAGGAAAATCCTTCCTTACAGTTTCTGCACCTGAGAAGGAACAGTAAGGGACCACCCTTGGGGGCATCCAGCTGGGCTCTGGTTCTCAGAGCTCTTACTGGTACATCACTGTGGGGATGGGAGGAGGTAGGGAACCCACAGCATCACAATAATAGCACACATTTATCTAGTGCTTTACAAATGTTACCTCCTTTGATCCTCACAACAACCCTGAGGGGTGGGTGCTATTATAGTACCCATTTTACAGATGAGGAAACTGAGGCAAACAGCGATGAAATGAATTATTCAGGGTAACAAAGCTAGTAAGTAAATCCTAAGGCAGGATTTTAACTTGGGGGCTTCAGAGGTCTTCTAGTTAAACCCCCTTCATTGATGGCTGAAGCCCATAGGAAGTTAAGCGAATTTCTTGAGGACAGCATTCTTTCCATTGTATCACACTATTTTCAGGCTGTGGGTAATTTTACTACTGGGTACCTTCTTAGATATTTATTGACTATGGTTCTGTGAAATTCTGATCTGTGATATTGCTATCTTTTCCTCCTTTCTTCCTTCTTTCCTTCCTTCTTTCCTTCCTTCCTTCTTCCTTCTTTCCTTCCTTCCTTCCTTCCTTCCTTCCTTCCTTCCTTCCTTCCTTC